AGCAGTTAGGGAAAGTCAAAGTTTTGAATGTTGTATCCAGTGATGACATCTGGGTCCACTGTCCTCAAAAACTCAGCCCAGCTCTGCTCACACAGAAAAACAGAGAGGATTATTTAATTTTTTTCTATTTTATATTGTTTCAGGTTTCTGCACAGTGAGCACACTCACCTGCAGAAGCTGTTTCTCTTGTGTAAAGCAAAATATCTGGGAGCCCACAATGCTAGCGCACGACTGCAGCGTAAACACAGTGCGAATGAAGGGCTCGGTTTCACCCTGACGCTGCACCATGGAGGCAATCTGAATTACAGGGTCCTTGTCTGCCTCTGGAAAGATTCCTGAAAATGAAAACAAAATAGTGACAGTGTCAAGACCCGAAAAAACATAATCCAATAATAGTGGGTGAGAATCAGACAGCTGTGGTAAACTGTCACACCTTTTCTTCCAGCACACTCGATGTCAAAGCTGAGGACTCTGAGTGGTGCGATTCTCTGCCAATCGCCCTCAGCTGGGTGACTGATCAAATCTGTCCAACCCACATCCACCTCATACTGACATAAGGACACCTGGAAGGACACCTCAGTAGTAAACAATGGCCACAAGCAGAACATCATCTATTTACTTTATTTTAAAGTGAGGAGGGAAAAAAAAAGATTTGCCCACCTTGCTCGGGTACTGTGAGTCCGTTTGCTGCGCACTCTTCTCCTCACGAAGTCTGTATTTACCTTTGGGAAGTTCAATCCAGCAGCAACCAACCACATCACTGTCCACCATGAACCTGACATCACCAAGACCTTTGTTAGTCTTTGAAATACAATATTTTATATGCATGAAAGAATGTTTGTACATGTCTTTTGAAAAACACCTGATTTCAAAGTCTATGTTGGCCTCGTAGCTCTGGTAGGACTGGGTGGGGAAAGGACCAAACTTCAGGCCCAGCTCTAGGAGTCTTTTTGCAGGAGCAACGAGACGGGGCATGGCCATAGTTATCCGCAAGAAGTTTATGCTGCGTTTGCCGTGGTAACCATACATGCCTGTGGCAAATGTCAAGACCACACTTTTAACAATAGCTTCATCCACTTTACTACATTTTGTGATTAAAAAATAATAATGTTTCCTTACTTTCTTTTTGGGTGATGTCCACAGCCAACACTGTGACAGAGATGTTGTCTTTATTGGAGCGCATGTCCTTCAGCACAACAGAGTTTAGTTCTCTTTTGAAGTCACTCAAGTGAGCTGCTGTAAAACCTGATAAACAAAAACAGACAGAAAATGATATATGAAAACCACCTTTTATGAGTGGCCTGTTAGCTGGTAGCGAGCTTTTTATGAGTGGCCTGTTAGCTGGTAGCAGATAAGTGGGAAATAGTGACTTGTTGTTCATTATATACACTTTTTATTCTTTATATGCTGACAGATTCTCATCACAACTATGAACTTGATGTTAACAAAACTGTCTACTACTCACCATTCGGTGCTGGAACATAGAAGTAAGGAGCAAATCCATGGATATGGCAGCAAACACTGTTTCCACTGTCTGTTACTCCAAACATTCGAATAATCGGGACCTTGCCCTGTGACTGACCTGGCATCCCTGCTACTGGAGAATCTACACAACAGAAGAAATCAACAATAACACCATTTGTATTCACCGGTTTGTTCACATTTCCTAGTCTGACATCATCAAGTCTGCATTGTTAATTACCTAAATAATAATCAAGATCGATCTGCTGAAACACTAAAGTATCAGATGATGAGTTCAGTGGAGGAGCATTAGGCCGCTGCCAGCGAGGGTTGAGGTCTGCTGAGAAGAGCTCACCTAAAGGAACAGAGGAGAAGAGCAAAGACTATTTATTAATAACTATTATTCATACAACCTAGAACTAATAAACAGTACAAGAGTTTGTATCGAATATAATGCTTTTCCCATCACAAGAAGATTTTTAAAACAATTTAAACTCTAATCTTCTGTGTATTTACTCACCAACAGGAATAACATCATGGCCTGCCTGTCCTTCCATGTCCTCTGCTTCCATCTCAGCATCATCAAACATGGACAACTCCTCCTCAAAGTGAGATGGACTGTCCTCCCATTCTGCATTTGCCTTACCACGTTTGGCCTGAGAGCCACCACCCATGAATGGGCCACCTTTACGTCTTTTAAAATCCATTCCTGAGGTGAGACAAGTTAAGAATGGTGTTTATGGAAAAGTAATATTTTTCACTAATTATCATAGCACCAAAATAAATATAGAGGTGACAAAGAAACTATACCAAGTACACTGTTGAAGTACTTATCTCGTTTACAGCTAATCTTTGCTGTACAGGCATTATTACATTGCATATGCCCAAAATAAACAAGCTAAAAACTTGGAGTTAGAGTAGACCAACGCGTGTTGCTACTATATTCTAGGAAAAGAAATGTTGGGTGAATTAAAACCTTTAATTCGCGCTTAAATTGTGGAAGGCATTTAAGCAAAATAGATCGACCTTTAATTCGCGCTTAAATTGTGGAAAAAGTGTTGTGATCAACTTCACATTTCTCTTTTGACAGGCTACTTTTTCTTCATTCATTTTCATCATAATTATTCATGCACACACACTCGCA